AAGGCCGTTACATCTGAGTCTAGTATGGTGCTGGAAATGATTAAGTGGCTTCTTGATTTCATCAGTTTTGCCAGGTCCTTTGGGTGGGCACTGAACCACCCAGATTCCTGCCCGCAGTCTGAGGCCAGTGGGGAAGCTCACCCACCTCCAGCACAAAGGTCGGTGTACCGCATTCATAAACGGAGTTTGATTTGCCAGACTGGGGCCCTGCTCTTGGTCGCCAGCAAGGCTGCAGATAGCTCACATCCAGACCAGCCCCCAGCAATGCGGGGCTCCTACTGAGCCGCCTCTCGCTAGGAACCCTAACGCTGCAGTTTCCTTTGCAACTCAAATCCTTCTGTTCAGACTCCTATATTACTCATGGTTGTTAAAATGTTGATTAACTTCACTGATAGCTCGTTCTTGAGACAAGTGAGGAAATTAGATCCCCAGCTATCTGTCAGACCCCTGGTGTAACTTCCATAATTTGTAGATAACCCAAAAGCACACTGGTGTTCAGGAGCATATAGATTAAAAAGACAGAACTTCCTCTTCAAAGGAAATTCATCAGAGATGAAGTTCAAAAGTATATTAAGAATCTAGCAACACTATTCAGATTTTTATTAACAGTTATTCTATTCTTAGTACTCTCATTGCCATTTATTGATCAAAACAATTTTAAAAATAGAAGCTAAACGATACATTGAAAATATATGTAACTTTTAAGCATGGCAAGTCTGACGCCATATATTTTCTTTGAATTAATGATTACTAAATACCGTTTCTCAAATTAGCGAGTAGAAAGCACGCATAGGGCTTTATATTTAATTTTAAATTGTAGGCTTATTTTTAAGGTTACAGGCTAGCAATGACGCACACCTATTTTAGCTTATTAATGCATTCATCTTGGCCACCACTTACTTACTTTTTAGAGACAACGTAAGTAATGCACAAATAAAAAGAACTGTGTTCAATATGCTCAAAATATATCTAAATCAGCATTGCGCAACAGTATTTCCTCTGCGCTGTGTTTCGTTTCTGTAAAAAGGAAAGCAGTGCCCTCTCGTGGTCCCCTTCTATGTGGCCCTGGAAATCGGACCACTGTGATTTTTCATCTAGACTGTGGGTAGAGATGTGGAGTTTTTTTCTCCTTAGTATTTTGCAAAGAGTATTTCTTTACCACGCATAAGTTACAAATGCGTTACAAAAATAATCCAGTTATGTGAGCACATGAAAGTATTGCCTGCTGATTACGAGATCGAGTAAAAGCTCACTGTACGTTAGTGCTGATGAGATGCCCTTCTAGGTAGGTTTTCCTGTCGTTTTTTCCTCAATAGCTAGCTCAAGATTCAGATCAGAAGTCATATAAACTATAGTTATTTCTCAAAGCACCAGTAATTAATTGTAGAAAATTAAATAGCAAAGTAATTTAAAGCTCTACATGAAAATCAGTGAAACTTTAAAAAGGTCACCTAAAGTTACAAATTACAAAACTGGTGTAACCGATGGCTGAGAATCACATGAAGTACTAGGCACGATTCATTAGAAAAATTGTCCTATGATTCCTAAGTAAACATACAAGGTAAGTGCTTTGATGTTTTACTGAGATGCATCTGAAAATATAATGTAATGTGTATACAGTGCTGACACATTGATTAGATTTTTTTCCAAGATTCAATAAGAAAAGATGCACAACCCTTGCCTCAGGTCTGTGGAAGTTAAGTACCAAATTTAGGTCTAAATAGTACAGCCTGAGGTACTGTCCTAGATGATTAGTAATTTTGATGAGGCAGTGGAAATAACTAACTTTCTCCCAGATTTGTATATACATTCTCATAAGCATAGAGCCCATAGATGAGAGGACAGTATAGGCATTTTTTGCATTAAAAATCCATATACTTTATGGTGCATGTATAAAATAAAGTATATATGATGACTGTTATCTAGGTTAGGAAAAAAGCCATAAAATGCTATTCACAAAGATGTTAAAAGAAGATACGTATCTTTTTACGTGCATGGGAAACCCTACGTGAGGACTAGAAGTTAGCTATATGCACTGGAGATACTCATTACAAACCACCAGAAAACTAGAGGCATCTCCTTTAGGCTGCTCTTAGGATCAGCTGATTTAGAGTAACTCCTTAATATGCTTCGTCATCTCAAATACCCTCACATGTTAAGGGGTTTATTAATAAGATTGTGAGAATTATTTAAATCAAATTTACAAACCTAAACAGTCACGGTCCACAGTCACTCAGTACTGGTTTCTGGTTTCTATTTGTTCTTCAAAGCAGCTCCAAGGGGAAAATTCTGTATTCATTATTGCACAAGTTATTTTGGTAGCTGTAAGTTAGTATCAACTGAAAAGGAAAGAAATACTTAGCCAACAAGAGTTTATAAGGAGAACAAAATCTTTTTCTGTGCCATTACATTCATGGATTCATACAGAGATAGCCAGTACCCAAAATTGTTAATAAGGCAGCAGAACTGGAAGAGAACATATGTCTTCTAAGCAGTAATCTACTACATGAACTAAAGTTCTTAGGAAAAATTTGGTTTGGTGCATTTAAATCAATCAGATGCTGAAGTGCCGTTCTATCTTATTGAGTGTATTTCTTTCTTTTATCTGAAACTGTACCCTGAAATGCTAACAGAATTAAATTTGTGTAGTATATCTAGGTATGCATGTGCATATGCAGAGAAATGCATACACTAACTATTTTTGTGTGCGAGTGTGTGTATACACACTCCATACATATATTATATCTACAGTGCATGTGTATACGCACGCTGTTCATTTGCAGTAGGAACAGGCAAGGCTCTTAAATAATGTAACAGCTACCAGCAGGCTCACATGGGGTAATTTAAGCTTGGTTTTGGGCATGAAGTACAGATCTTTGAAGTGGTCCTCAGAGGTATTCCGCTTGGTCTTGGGAGCATCCTAAGAGAATGCTGCAGTTTTTTTCTTGAATCAGCTCAGTTTTTATAAGGGAGAGAAAATAGGGATATACGTAAATGTATGTGGATCTGCACCTCACCCTGCCCTATGTTAAGTCAAAAGCTGCCATTACTCCTTTCTGCAATACTGCGTATGGCACTGTCCTAGCTACTCCCACCTACAAGCTGTTGAGCAGTACGCGTTTCAAACCTCATAGACCAGAAAGCTGGCAATAAAAATGGGGAAGATATAGAGGTGTCATAATATCGGTCATAGGGAGCAGCCTACAGAGCATTGTCACAAGCCTGCTGAAGGGATCGCAGGTCAGATAGGTGTAGCTAGCTGAGAAGGTGACAAACAAATGCTCAGCTGTGTCTCATGGTTGAGCTACTCAGGGTCCACCAAGTCCCCTGCGTAGCTGTGTTGGCAGCCCAGCACACACCAGCTGGCTGCGGCCAGCTCGGAGCCGCCGAGCTGTCAGGAACCATCTCCGGCTGCCGGCAGAACCGGCCAACAGCTTTGCCGTCTGCCAGGGGTGCTGGTGGGTGGTGTTACCCAGAGCAGCCTGGCAACTAGGGTCTCAGAAACCTGCACCTGCTTGGGCAGACTTGGTCGCAATTAGCGATGTTAGCAAGTTAGTAGAGGGTACAAGGAGATGCTGCTTATTTAGGATACTGGGATTAAGAAAGGATCTCTCTCCTTGTAATTTTATTAATAGAAAAACCTGGGATGAAACCTTACTCTAACTGAAGTCAGTAACAAAAGCTCAGTAATTTGAGTGTATCCAGAATCCACCTCATCTGAAGATATAAAGATTGCCTTATCAGATCTGATTCATCTAGCCTGATGCTGTGTCATAGACTGTGATAGGCAGTGGCTGTTTCTGAAGAAGATATCAAGAAGTCCCAGATTGATTAGTAGAGTTTCCATTGCAAATTTTTTTTTTTTTACTTCATTAGACCTGCCTTCATGTCATGAAAAAGAGAGGTGTATAACCATTTAATTCCTCTATAGCTTTATTCTTACTATTCAGATAAATGTCTGGGTGTTGTATTCTACTAAGCACTTGCTGTCACGTAATACATAAATTAAAAAAAAAAAAAAAGCCCTCAATATACATCACTTCTAAATTATGGAAATTATGTAGTACGTAAAAGATTTCTGTTTTACTAATTTTAAATTTTTTACCTTTAAGGTATTTTTTTAAATAAGATTTTATTGATGCAATGGATAAAATAGAAATGCCTTCTTTATACATTGGTATTGCAGTGCGTGTATATCATTTAAGTTGTGAATTTTTTATAGGTCTAGCCCCTAAACTAAACAGTCTGCAGATTTTCACAGAGATTACTTTTGCATGTATCGCTTTAAGCATGTCCATCACTTGCTTATAAACCCTTTTAATTGCTACCATTGCTCTTTTCAAATAGTGTGACCAGCACTGGGAAACATGACCCGTGATGGGGGACAAAACACTGCTTTCTAGAAACAGCAGTAGAATATTTTCATTTTTCTGTTTCAGTCTCTGTATCTCCTCATCCATATTTACTTTAGACTGCCTTTGCACGTGGAACAGAGGTTTTCAGTGAGTAGCCCACAGCAATCCCCAGGAATTTTTCCTGGGTTAATTAAAAACCCAGCAATGTGAATGAAGAGTTTAAATTAATGTCCCATTTGCATTGCCTAAAATATATTTGCTGATGGGGAATTTTGCTGGCCATTTTCTGGATATTCACTGAGCTCTGCATAGTCATGTTGAAGCCACTCATAGACTTTTCTAGTCTGTCTTTATTTAACATTGTCTCTTCTGTAATATTTGACACCTAAGTATTCTCTTCATCACTCTGCTAATTACTAAACATACCAAAGTAGTCCACGTGCAGACTCCTAGGGTGTAACTCATTATTAACCTTCCAGATTTTTGAAACTGTCCATTTTTTGTACTTTTTGTTTTTCTTTGCTAGATGGATGCTTGAATGGATCAAGTTCTTCCCTCATCTATGCTTTATGAGTACTTTTCAATTTTTTTTTTTGTGAAGACCTCTATATCGACTTACCCAAATCCCCTTTCATAGATTACCTCAACATAGGATCATTTATCCAGTATCTTGTTGATACAGCTAAAAAAAAATATTATATATATATGTACATATGGATAGAAACTTGTGACTTTCATTAAGAAAAATCATGCTGCTTAATCTTTATTTGATCCTGAACTGTTTAAATGAACACTATTATTGGTCCCTTTTAGGTCGCATGGTGCTTTGTTTTATTGATTTACTTCTTTGCCTAATACTTCCATCGGTTCTGGTAAGGCTTGTTGCTCCACAGGTGATTTTTTCCCTTCCTCCCCAATATTCAGTTGAATGGGTGCAACCATTTGCAATGGATTGGAAAGGTACATTGTATATCCGTATTAACCGAGGAGCCAATTTGTGTATTCATTTTGGAGATACGCTATACAGTGCAGGTGGCCTACTTTCAGATTTCTGAATGATTTAATTGTAAAAAGTCCTGTTGAAAGCACTGATTTTTTTTTCATCTTTACAGCCTACTACAGATGTACAAAGAACTCGGCTAGCTCCATGATACTAAATGTGCTCCTCTTCTCTTCTGTTACTCTCAGGCAGTGCAATGGATTTACCAGTTCTCTTCCAGGCTTCCCGCTCCCTGGATTTCTACGTTCGAAGGATGGCCAGTTGGTTTCAATCTCTACCTAAACTTTTCCCTTTATCTACACAGGACATTTTTTCTTGCCTTTCTGCTATTTAGAAGTATGTGCGCTTTGGTAGCGGCTGGGTGAGAGCCTCTTGCACAAGTAGAGAACTGCAGCAAGCAGAGTATCAGACCGGAATACTGATTTTGTTTCAGGTCCCCATTTCTTGCCCTTAAGATCCAGGGGATTTCTTCTTTAGCATATACATATGCACATAAATATAGCATACTAAAGGAAAGGGAGAAACAGTATGATTTCACTTCAGGCAGCATTCCTTCTTTTCCCCTTCCTCAGGCTTTATACCTCTAAATAAAATTAACTCAATAAACTCATGGAGAGCCCTTTTTCTTTTTTTTTTTTTTTTTTTCTATCTTCATGCCTCTGGAGCACTTAAATCAGCTTCTAAGGTATATTCTCAGTGCTGACTGCCGCCCTTTGTGCAACTCCAACCTATCCTGTGCTTTAACTGCTCATCATTCATGTTTATGAGCCAAAAGATTGACCCCAAAATGCAGTTCAATACCACAGATAAGATCTAAATTAAATTATTGTGTTCTCAAGCTGATGTATTTTTAATCGCCTGTGGCAACTTTATTCCTCGATACGTGACTTAAGACCATACTTAGTAGTTTCCACTAAGTATTCAATTGCAAATGTGCAGTATATGCAACTGTATGTTGTAGTATCCATCGTAAGTCCACTTCCTTACAGTGAAATGCAGCTATTAAAATACAGATGAATTTAAAATTTTAATTGTTTGAGCCAAATATCACTGTGTATATGTGTAATAATTTAATTAATTAATAATTTAAAACATGCTAGCCTTGATTTACACTCATGTAGTTGAGATCAGTATCTCTATAAACTATTATTTCATCGTTATAGACTCTTTCAAGAACAGAGAAATAGGTATGGCCAGGATGTTCTTGAAAATCTGTTTCATTCTGGGTTTTTTGCACAAATGTGGTGCATTATTAATACATTGGGTATTGAAATGAACATATATCCTCATGCTTTTTTTGCTCTTACTAACTTTTCTATTAGCTATGATCATGAAGGGCGTCTGACCAATGTAACACGTCCCACTGGAGTGGTAACTAGCCTTCATCGAGAAATGGAAAAGTCTATTACCATCGACATTGAGAATTCTAATCGGGATGACGATGTCACGGTCATCACAAATCTCTCCTCTGTGGAGGCTTCCTATACAGTTGTTCAAGGTACCAAAGCACACTTCTCAGCACATCTCCTAACCACACTCACAACTTGAGAAAGCAATTTGCAAAAGATTTGTGTCATTAGTACACTCATGAGCAAGGGAGAAAAAAGTATAAGGTTTGCAAGAAAAACTCCCATAAAGCTCACTTCTAAAATGACAGGTCATCAGGACAGGTAAGAGACATTTCACAATCACGCTTTGTGTCAAACCCGTATGGTCATTATCTGCTGGTGTAAGTTAGGCCTGCCGTTACCTCTTGGGCCAGGTTCACTTTACCCACTCATGTGTTTCTCTGTACTCCACTGTGAAATTGGTACTGACTCCAGTGCCACAGAGATGCAGTCTGACTGCTGAATGTTGGCTGCCTGGATAGAAATCCTTGTGGGGAGAGAGGCTCAGGTAGCATCCTACTATTGGAAATGAAATCTTCCAAATTTATACACTCTTGTTAAATAAAATGTAAAAGCATTAGGGCAGTGGATGATCGTGTGCCATAGTTAGCACTATCGAGAACAGTGTTACAGCCCAAGTATGGAGGAGAGATCAGCAACAAAATGGTTAAATGGTTGCGTAGACCTTTCCAACACCATGCGAGCATTGTATCTGATGAAGCAAAACCAGTCAGTTATCAAAGATAGGCTGAAAGGAATTTGGTGAGTGATTAGGTTTTTTTAATTAATACAGAGTATCACTGGAATAAGAATGCCATCATCGAACAATAGTCTCCTCCTGACATAAATGTCAACATTTATAGACTATTATACTGTGACACATCTGGTTACAAAGACTTTATTCCTCTTATACCAGATGAATAATTATGTAGATGCTGCCCTCTGTCAGACAAGTATTGATGCTTTGGTGACAGTTGCACACTGTTGCGCTCCATCCTGTCTGAGAGAGGACTTCGCTGTGTCAAACAGCTGGAGAACAGCACAGCCATAAAAGCACGGGATTTTTTTTTATGACTCTCCTCCACAAGCCAAAGGCCAGGTGTGCAAAGGGCTAGTGAACTTCTGGTGGGGTGGCACGAAGGCAAGTAAAGGACCGTGGCTGCCAGCTTGCATTGCTGCAGCCTCACACCTTGAAACTGTAGTTCTGTACAAAGCCTCTGCTTGGAGACAGTTTTTAAGCAGAGGGAAAGAAAAAGAAGAGGCTTGCTTCTTCCTGTTCACAAAGAGTCCAGCAGTTTGGGTTTTTTTTTTCTTTTTGTCCTGGAATTTAATGGTTTGTTGTTTATCCAGCAGTTCAGTTCTCAGGACTTTTTGTTCATGTTAGAAATAAATGACATGGTTGAAATATATCACTATGCATTTTGATTCACAATTAAGACCAAAGGGAAAACATAATGAAATAAACACAGTATCTCTCTGCAGGCTCCCTGTTACACTACTGTTCTTTACATGAATCAGTAACATCTGTAATTTCCACCATAGTACCATGTAAATGGTAATTGCAGGCTGACTTCATTTAACATCAACAGGAGTGCAATAAAAAACCAATCAAATTAAGCTATATGTTTTCTTTATGACTGGAGTAGCTAAATTATTTTCTTTTCATTATTGCTGTAGATCAAGTGAGGAACAGCTACCAGCTCTGTAATAATGGTACTTTGAGAGTGATGTATGCCAATGGCATGAGCATTAGCTTTCACAGCGAGCCTCATGTCCTGGCTGGGACTGTGACTCCCACCATAGGACGATGTAATATTTCTCTACCAATGGAAAATGGTTTAAACTCAATTGAATGGCGTCTGAGGAAGGAACAGATTAAAGGCAAAGTGACTGTGTTTGGAAGAAAGCTCAGGGTAAGTAGAATCTGTCATTACAATAATGATCTTTTCTTCTGTGGGCAAAAAAAATAATTTTCCATTTTGAAGGACATGTCTTTCCTGATTTTTTACTTGTTAAAAATGTACAACTCTGGGATTGTCTTTGGCATGACAATCTCTTTTTATTTGAGAGGTCAGTGGACTGCATAGGATCATCTGCTGCAATCAGCTTCAGAAGCTTCATTACTAAAAGTATTCCAGAAGAGGTTGGTAGAAATACACAGAATGTTGCTGCAGGTCACTCTGCTTCTGAAGGTGGGGGAAAAAGAAATCCAACAACTCACCATTTGTAAAAACGCTGTGGCACACTTACCACCCTTAGTCCTGGGGAGAAAACACAACTACAGCTTGAGCAGTTAGGTTCTGCTTCTGTAAATCCCCCTACAGATTCATTGAGACAGGCATATTGTGTTTATTCCTTTTCCCAAATGGCACGATTGGAAAATAATTGCCATAATTACAAAGTCATAAGCATAGGATAAGAAAGACACTCAGGTCACGTAATTCATCCCTTGCCAAATTAAAGATCTGCTGCAGCTGGATTAATCCCATTCTGTGCTTAGCTGGCCTGTTTTTCACCCCTTAAGTATCTGAACTTTCACTGGCTCCTTCAGTGTATACAGTTTCAGAAGGGCTTTGAGATACTGGGTAGAAAACAAATGTAGCACTCATCAAGTCCTCGTTCTTTTCATAATTCTTTCAACATCATTGCACGTGAGACAGTTGTATGTGTTTAAGATGATATATTAATGCAATATATGTAAGCAACTATGTCGTAATTTACAAAAAAAAAATAAGACTGGGATGTTAAATTTAGGTATTTTCTTATTGCTTAACATCTAATTCACAGTGTTGAATTAACAAGTCTTTCCTTATTCTCACAAATCTTTCGAATGCACCTACTGGGGAGAGGGGTAAGGTTAAACAAAAAATGGAATGAGATTAGCAGCTAATCCTTAATGACTAAATTTCATGGCTGTGTAATTGATTTTTGATGTGTTGACCTGCAGAAGTTGATTAGAAGTAGAAAATAGAACAGCTCTGCATTTTGACTAGGTGTTCTGAATAAAAAGAAATAGGACCCTGAAATGAAATTGCTGTAATCCTAACTCTCAATACTAAAAATTTAATAGAGGTACTTGTGGTAATTAGCTGAAGTTAAACACGTCTTAGAGCTGAAACCTTGCCCGAGATGAGTTTTCTTGCATCATGTTTATGCAAATCAAAACACCGCTTTATCTAGCAACACCTCAACATTTAATTGTCTGGTGTTAGTTCCTGTAACAATAATCACATATCCATTTAGCTCTTTTAAATGAAAATCGCTATGAGATTATAACAGGTTGAGTGGACTGAAAATGAAATTTGAAAATGAGGGAGAAAGCATAGAATTTATTTGCATCTCATTTATTCTAATTCATCTTTATAAATTGTTTAGTGAATGAAATAGAGCAAGCGTGTTGGAACACTGCGGGGAGCAGGTGGCAGGCAGGGTGAGCTACGGCAGCTGGGACAGCTGTGGCACGTCGCGACACAGACCGGGGGGCACTGCGGCAGAACTGACACAGCGCCAGGACGACCAGTGCGGGAGCGTGCGGAGCCGTCACCTCAATCCCAAATTCAGAATCAAGAATTACCAAAAGGGATTGTTATTAGGAGGGATTCACCTCTTAGGAGTACTTACCTTTTTTTCAGGTAGCGCTGCTACCCGTGCCCCCCCAGGTGCTGTAGGCACACTGAGATCTACATGTCGGCCTCCACAAACAAGCCTGGGCAAACTTCATTAAGCCGAGAAAGGAAGACCTTTATATTATCCCAGTTACTGTCCGCTAGTGTTTTATGCGCCACGTGTTCCGTGTCCTGCGGTAGTTTCAGATAAAGCCCTGATAAGATTCCCGCTGAAGAGTTTTTTGTTACAGTGCAGCATCATGTAAGTGACTTTTGTTGCAAGACCTTTACCCAAGGCACAAAGGGCTCGTCCCTTCTGCCGCGTGGTCAGCAGCAGCCAAGGCAAAAGCAGGTGTGCATGTAGGTAGTGGAACAAAAGAGAAAGAGCTTGTTAGATAATCTTCAGTCATGATGCTTGTAATAGTGTCATTAGTGTTCCCAGGAAGAGTGGGAGTTAGTAATTTTATTTGGGTTTCTATATAATTAATATGACACTACAATTACACTCTCTGGTTTTACTTATTTTACAAATAAAAATGAAGCACCCAAGCAGGTGCTTCTTTATTCTCCAAGTGATGTTTGTGTGTGTGCATAGCTCTTCTGTGTAATCATTTTAAAAACCCTAATACTTTAGTTTTGTATGGAAAAAAACAAATAACCTTTATAGTGGTTTTGAGAAAAGAGAGGATACCTGGTGTCAGACTTTCCTACATGCAGAATACCATTGCAATTACTGTAATGGAGGGAAGAAACCTCAGAAATTCCAACTGCTTTATGAAGCTTCAGAAATTAAAAAAATAAAAGAAACACAATAGCTAAAACTCAGTTCTTAATATTTTTAAGACTTGATTTTTTTTTTCTTTTTACTGTATCTGCCTGTCTTAAGAAATTCGGTTCTTTCAGTCATACGCTAACCTTTTAATGTTATAGTTAAATGTTTTTGAGAAGTGCAAGCTCTCTTCTGCTTCCCTAAAAACTCTGTGAAGGAAAGGGTTTGATGTGTCTCTGTCACCAGGATTGATCCTACATTTACAGAACTAGAGTAACCAGTTGAGACAGTAATAATGTTGAGTTTGGCTTCCCTGGCTTTGTTTCCATTACAATGGGAGAGCAGAATATGATTTATTTTGCCAAGGTGTTTTAAAAAAAAACAAACGACTACTCTATCTTTTCTTTGAGTCACAGGAGATGATGTTGCTGGGATAACCTTTGGGAAAACCTACAGAAAAGAGCTTTTTCTAATGACTGCCCACTGAGGAAATGCAAACTGTTAAAGAGCTAAATTTTATTAATGGCAAAAATTACGATAACGAGCGATAATTTGAAATAATTATTTCTTTACAAACACAAAATTGTATTAATTTTAAATTTGCTTTCTGTATAACTGAATTCCTACAGAGTCAGTTGGGATGGGAATTGGGTTTACCCCTGCCAGTGGAAATATCTCAGAATAACTTTTATGTCCTCGATAAAGGCTCAGGGTTAATTTACATATTGTTTGATGTGCAGTTTAATTTTGGATAAGAGAAAACGTTGCTTAATCAAAGCTACTGTAAAATATAAGCTGAAGAACAAATTCCCAGAAACCGATGAATACTTTTAAAGTAGTAATTTCTCTCAAATTATATCTAATTTATAGACTTCTACTTTATTAATGATGCATCTACAATTAAATTACTTAAGAAGCTTTATCAGATTACAGCATTAGCCTGAATTCTGTGGCTTAGCCTCCAGTGAATATATTTATGTATCTTTCATTATAGCACTCTCACTAGAAGCCTCTCCATTTGGCATTCTTATATGCCTTTGTTTCTGTTTTGCTCTTTTATTAAAAAATAAAATAATAATAAAAAAATCTGGGACTGAAACACTTCATGCTGCACTTTGATTTGGAAATTGTAACTGAAAAAAATGGGGGGAAAAGTAAAATATTTAACCTAATTATTTAGCACTTTTGTTTCTCAAAACTAGAAGTCTATGATCAGGATTTTTGATCAGGACTTTTAATCAGAAGAAATGAAAGCCATACCAAGTGATCAGGCTGCTGAGGGATCTATTGAGTATTTGGAAAATAAATGAAGAAAGCATTAAATGAATGAATTCATAAGCAGAGTGTTGCAGCTACAGAACCTAAGTGGCTAAACCTCAGTGAAGAGACAAAATTATGATTTCTTCTATTGTTCCTTCAGTCATTGTAAGGAAAAAGGCTAAGAGCTACTGATGACAGAAGTAGGAAAATTACTTCCATGCAAAATAATTTGTTTCTCTGCTCCATGTTAACACTGCACTTTGAGACCTAAGCGTGCAGTATGTCCATCTGTGCTGACAACAAGGGAAGCCCTTGTCTGTAAGATTACAGCTCCCGTGTTGCAGGGAGATGGGAAACATCGCAGTAAAACACTCCAAGTTACGTATTTGAATACACTGAGAAGGAGGAAGCAAAAGCCAGTTAATAGGAAGATGTCCTACCCTTTGCACAAACGTGAGCAATGGAGTTCTCCGTTGTGCATGCTATTTTCACGCCGAAAACCTGCGGCGGCGCAGTGCCCACTGCTCGCTGAATGCAGCCTTCTTCCATTCAATAGGTGCACGGAAGGAATTTACTGTCCATTGATTACGACCGGAACATCCGCACAGAAAAAATCTATGATGATCACCGGAAATTTACGCTGAGGATCATTTACGATCAGCTAGGACGGCCTTTCCTCTGGCTACCCAGCAGCGGCCTGGCTGCTGTCAACGTGTCTTATTTCTTCAACGGGCGCCTGGCTGGGCTTCAGCGCGGTGCCATGAGTGAGAGAACAGACATCGATAAGCAAGGCAGGATCGTATCGCGCATGTTTGCAGATGGGAAAGTCTGGAGCTACACCTACCTAGAAAAAGTAGGTGGTGTTGTTTTATCGCCTGACCTTAGCTACAAAGAGACAAAGTACTACGCAGCATCATTTTAAGCTTTGTACATAACATACCCACACAGATTATCTAAAATTTGACGTATTCCAGCTGCTAAGAATCGCTTTGTACCTAGTCTCAAAATTCCGTATTTGTCAATTAGTCAACTGAATTTGACTAATTTTTAATGGGAAGTATTTTGTTCATAGTTTGTGTCTTTTGATATTTTCCTGAAAGCGGCTAGGCTGCCATATAATGGCATAAACTAACACAATGAATTGTGCTTAATTAAGACAAAAAACGCATGACTAAACCTGACAAAACCAGGTAGAATCAGGTAATCCATCTCTAATCATTATTTATGAAATGAAAATATGATTATGCATTTTTACTTAGCCTAATTAAGACACTTCAATCATAAGTGTCTTAAATACTTGAAAATTGCATATTATTTTCCATTTCCTTCTTCAAATCTGTTGTTTTAAGCAAACCAGAGCTGATGTTCTCTGCTTAGTTTCTCTCGTCTTTCACAGTGATAGTTGTGAATTACAACTGCTAGCAGAAAGATAAATCAAGTCAGTTATCTAACTCCTCTGCATCCCTCGTAAAAAAAAGAAAAAAACAAAAGTCCTACTATAGGGAGAGTAGCTAATAGGTTGGTAACTTAAACTTTCTCTGGAGTGTCAGCATATTGATTTCCAAGTAGCAGATCCTCTCATCTGGCAATCTGACAATATTCCTGAGCAGCTTTGTGCCCCTAACTAACGTATCTAATTCTCTTTTTATTCATTTAACATTAGTGCCTCAACTTTTCTTTTCTATAATGCCTTTTAGAGGTCACATGCTGAAAGCTAGTAACTGTGTATTAATTTTTTTCCCT